TAAAATTTTTTCAAATCGACTAGTTGGAAAGTTGGCAACTAGTTGATTTTTCAACTAACGATTTGGAACACTACTTTAGACGACCTCCTAATATAATATAATCACATTCTTAATTACCTTAAAATATCGTTGTAATTCATTTTTATTTACTATCACACCATGATAGTGAAGTGCTTGTTTAATTTGATCCTCTTAAATTTTCAACATTTCCACTATAAGATATTTCCGTAACATATTACAGACATTTGGAAGGATAGTATTGGCCATTGCGACAAGAACAGTTTTAGGAATTGATGCACGAAATAATGCGTATTCTGTCTTTTTATCCTCTTCAAGAATGCATAGAGACAATTTTTCTGCAAGCTCTAACAGTGTTGTGTTCGAATTAAATATCAACATTTTGATTTTAGAATTGTAACTTTCCATCCGAGAAGTTGATGACATCCTCGCAGTAAATAATTTAAGTACAAACGCCTTTGCTCATGATTCTTTATTAATATAAAGCATTTGTTGTAAGTAGTTAACTACATTTTCATTATTATATTTTTCGATTAGGCATTTTCATTTGTATTCGAAAATAGTTATAAAGCTGCTCTGCTGTACTTCAAAAAAGTCCTTAATAAACTCATTATAACGGTCTTTAAGACTATTTTTCAAATTGAGTGGAATATTTTGAGCAATATGAAACATGCAATGAAGAGCATTGACTGTTGGAAACTCATCTCGTATTGCAGCAATCAGAACAGGGTCAGCATCAGTGAACATAATATGCGGAACAGCTTCAGATGTCACCTTTTTGATTTGTTGTAATATTCAACAATGTGCCTCCTTTGTTTCATCATCCGTTAAGGCCTGAGCTACCAACCGAGAAGACAAATGATTGTCAACCACCAAAAAAAGGGACAGTGCCATCTTATAACGGTTGGTAGATGAAGTATTGTCATTTAAAATTACATCGTCAAACTTTAACTACCATTCAATTTGATCAGGAGACATATAGAATAAACGGCAAAGGCATGTGCTATCAGGGTCCCAATCCACTTCAACATACCATCGAGGATCACTTTCTTTTTTCTTTAATAATTCATCATATAAACGACCTGCATCATTGCATGGTCATGTGATTTGGGCCGAAATCGCCAAATTATTCTGTGTAACACTAGCATATAAATCTTCATGCAGTACTTCTCTTCAAGGGCCTTGCGAATTTGCTGAGGGCTGCAATTTATTTTAGTCACAAAAAACTCAACGTCATTAACCATATCCGTTGTAAACTGCAGGCTTTCCTGAAAATCATAATGCTCTCGATCAAGGTCATGGTTCTTATGCTCATCAATCAATTTTGTAACATATATAACTTTGTGAAGATTATTTTTCTCCAGACATGAAAGATTTACTCACCATGTACACCTAACACGCTTGGAAGATGTTTCTTTCTCTGGATTCTTACTCTTTGTTGCCTCAGATTTACTATAGTGCTCACAAACTAATATGCATCTTCAGATTGTTTCATTCGACTTTTCAATGCGATAACAGCGAAACCTAAATCCTTGACTCTTCGTATACTTTTCAACTTCCTTCATCGCATGATCCCAATTAAGAAATATCATATTCGTTTGCAATTCTATCCCCTGGACACCTTCGCTAATTGTTTGATGCCAATCATTATATACCACTGTTGACTCGTGTTGAGCACCTTCAAAGTTCATCATATTGCCGTTTTCATATTTATCCTGATCAATTCCATGTAAAAAATCATTAATAACATCAAATTCATTTTGGCTATTATATAGGACATCATTAACTACAAAATCGCCTTGGATATTATTGTATAATGCATCATCAGTTGCAGCAACCATATATAGCGCACCATTACTAATAGCAAGTTCTTCAGGTTCCTCCATAATTTAGGTATAAATAGGGCAAAGATTAAGTGCAGTTAAGGTAATAGGACAAAAACAAATATGGATAGGATGAATAATATAGCACAATGACTATGATAAGTAAAATGCAGAAAAAAATCA